AAAAAAAAAAAAAAGGAGAATTGAAGAAGAACGAGGAGGACGATAATTGCGGAATAACAATAAATTTGGTGATTGCAGGTTGGATCTGCGGAGCATTCTGCGCGTCTCAACGTCTACGGTTTGCCCTTCATTCGCCACATGGACAAAAAGGCCATCGTTGCCGGCGAGACTCTTCGCGTGACCTGTCCAGTTGCCGGATATCCGATCGAAAGCATCGTGTGGGAACGGGACACCAGAGTTCTGCCGATCAACAGGAAGCAGAAAGTCTTCCCGAATGGCACGCTTATCATCGAGAACGTCGAGAGGATGAGCGACCAGGCTACGTACACCTGCGTCGCGCGTAATGCTCAAGGTTACAGCGCGAGAGGAACGTTGGAAGTTCAAGTCATGGGTAAGTTCGAAGTGTCTTTACTTTCTTGTCTTTAAGATCGTCAACTTTCGCGAACTTTGTCCGTCGCGTACAATCGGAATTTAACTAGAGACGAGATATTATTCCACGACGAGTAAACGTTTCGATTACCTTTTTTCAGTGATACATGACATGTGACGAGAAAGAAAAGGGTTTGGAATTTTTTTGGTAGTACTTGTAAAATTATGAAAAAAAGTTCTGACGGACGTGGGTTGAAATATTAATTAACGGTGATTATAGTTAAATCAAACATTTAACCAGAGTTGGGTACATTTCATTTGGAATAAAATAAAAAGTAACAATTTGAAGCAATTATTTCAACTAATCTATCATTATCTATTGTTGGAAATATTATATAAAAAGTAATTTTACTTGATTCAAGTGAAACAATTCCAATTTTCAAATTTAATTCGATTATTTAAATAAAATAATGAACAATGTGACGTAAGGTTCGCAAACAAGAATAAGAAAATACTTGAAATTATTCGAACAAAGTTTATTCAAATATAAAATAAAACCTTTCTTCCTTTGATGGTCGAATAATGAAGTAGTCACAAGAAAAATGATTTCCATGATAAAAAGAACATGTAGTTGTTTCATTTAACATCTAGCTAAATAAGAAATATGTTATTCGATCATTGCGTCATTTTGTGAAATACATTATTTGAATAATGTTTATTAGTGATTCTAGTTAAAATTTTCAATTCACACTTTTCATAGAACAAAGTCTATTTGTTATTTCTATAGTTATTAATTATTTGTAATTCATTGCGCGTTAATTTAATATAATTCAATTAAGAACATCAATAATTTATTTATATTATTCTTTATTTATATTATATTATTATATTATTCATCAATAATTTATTTATATTATTTTCATAGAACAAAGTCTATTTGTTATTTCTATAGTTATTAATTATTTGTAATTCATTGCGCGTTAATTTAATATAATTCAATTAAGAACATCAATAATTTATTTATATTATTATACAGTGAAATATACATCCACGTATAATTCAATTGCAGTGACGAAAGCATTAACATTTCCAAAATTATAAACGATTCTTCTGAATCCTCTTTTAGATGAACTTTGAAAGAGAAAAATATATATAAAATTTTTATTTTTTACCATTTTCTACTATTGTTCGTCTCTTTACTATTGTGCGTCTGTCTACACTCGTTAATTTATTTATTCTTTTCCTTTTCTTAATAAATTGTATATATTTAAATATATACCAAATGGCTAATGCCTGTCAATCATTAAATAAATAAAAAGAAACTGCTTGGCAATCAACAAATATATTAACCGAAACAAATATTGTTCATAATTATTAATATTAATTTTTCGACCCATGTTTATCAAAACATTATTTCGTCGTTTGACAAGTACAACTTAGATTAAAAATTACGAACCCTTTTTTTTTTTATCATCATCATCAGTAGAATGTATAATTTTCAGTAGAATATATAAGTAGAATATTCCACTGAATTATAAATTAAAATTCTTTTTTTATTACTTTTTTTCCTCTATATACGTATATATGAAGAAACGAATTGAATAAATCGGTCGAGCAATGTGAAAGCGTATTCGCGAGCCGAATCCTGCGTAAAACGTTCTTTACAGGTATATCCAGGTGTTGTTGGACAAGTCGACGAACGAATCGTTAACGTTCGTCGTTACTTTACAGCTCTAATGACAACTCTTTCAGCGAATCCTGGCACTTGTCGACTTGGCGTTGATAAAGGCTAAATAAAAACGACGTCCAGCCGAGTATCTCGGCCGAACAATCGAGAGTCGCGAGAACTGATATATATATGTATAGCCGTGTAGAAGCCGCGGGAGAGAAATGGAAAGAAAACCGGGCTCAGTCGCGCGAATTTTGAGAATCGTCGCATACGGACACGGACGCGGACACACGCACACGGACGACGACCCTGTCGCAGATATTTCACGAACACTCTAGTCGCACGTAAAATGGAAACGTCTCGATTACGGGGGGAAAAAAAAAAAAGAAAAAAAGAAAAAGAAAGAGGCACGAGCGCTTTCGTTGGAATGTTGGAAGTTGGTATGGCGGTGGCCGACGATCGACCGTAAGAAATCTAGCGTATGCTTGTCAGAATTGTTCTTTCCGCGCGTCCACCACGCGCTAGTAATCGCTACAGACCACAGAGATACCGTGTATCAACAGCCAATGGGTTGGCTTCGTCCACGTTGGAATCGTTCTTCATCGTTTGCTATCGATCGAGCTTCGTTTTTCTTATGTAGACAATTTTTTTTTTTCGTTTTTTTTCTTGATAAATTATCATAGGTGTACAAGTTAATTCGTGGCCTTGATCGATTAATCAAAATTTTATTTTGAATTCGAATCTTTCTCCCGTGCTGCGCTCGGGTTTCTTTATCGATGTGTTTGAAATGAAATGCATACAATACAGTTCCTCGTATTGGAACTGACAGGAAGGTAAAATAGAATTTTCCGATTTATTTATTTCAGTTTATTTCGATATTTAAGAATATCGCTGCGCTTTCCTTTTAATCGTTGAATTGTTCAATTTTCTTTTTTTTTTAACATAAAGTTATATCTTTTTAATGCACCGTCGAAACTAATTAAAGTGAGAAGGCATATCCTCGTTCGCTGCATCTACATTTTTGTAACTTATAAACAAAACTTTGATTTGTCGCGATTAAATATAATTTATTATATTTTATTATTGCTTTTTAGTAAATTCTTTTTGTGAAAAACATGTAAAAAAACATGTATTAAGACATATAATGTAATTTGGCGTAGTTAATCAAGATTAGCCGCGATCACGGTACTAATTCCAATCAATAAACATCAAGCAAATCGAGCGTATTTAGTCCCACGTTAGTGGGACTAATAATCCTTTGGTCTATAATATTCGAGTTAGACACCAAGTGCAAAATCGAATAATAGTCAGCGTTATATCTTGATAGACTGAATTCCTTTTTCACTTAAAATTCCCATCTCTTTTAGAAAGGAGGCTCGAAAGTTGCTTGACAGATGAAACGAAGTGACGAAG